CTGTTATTTGGCATCTCCATTATCACCATCTACCCTATTGTCCTTTTCCTAGGAAGGTGAGAAGCAAAAACAATGGGTTTCCTAGGTTTCTCAGAGGTGTTGGTCTGTTTCAGCAAAACCAGTGGTCTGATCTTTGCACAAAGCTGGGTCACCAGACTCAGTAATTGCCGCTTTCCCCAATCTGCATGTTTATTTATTGAAGAAAAGCAGCAAAGGAATTGAGTTGCTGTAATGGCCTGTGGGAATGACCTTGGGAGACAGGAGGAAGACCTTGGACAACTGGCGTGTAAAAGATATCTCAGCCCACAGGAGGGAGGGCTTGGGAAGCGTTTCAGAAGGGACCCTCCCTAGTTTTCCAGAGAGTAAAAGGAGAGGAGGGGAGAAATATTTTTGGTCTTGCAAGATTCTGTTAATATAACCTTCCAATAAAAACAGAGTTGGTACTCCTAGTGGTACTTGTCTGGATTACCTCTAAGGGCTAACAGTTACCCCTTTAAAGACTAACCAGTTGATGATGACATTACCTTTTCTGGGTTTCAGGGAATTTGGGGAAGCGAAGGGTTATTTGTGAAAGTATATAGGCATAAATGGTTTAATTTTTAAGGTGTCACCAGACTCTTTAGTCCTTACATAAAGGCACAAATGTATCTGCTAGGTCAGTCCTCCAAGATGTGTGCCTGAGCTCCAAGCAGGGCTGCACCTTGAAGATAGAGCCCAGTGAGAAATGGATGCGAGTCTTGCTGACAACTGCATGGATTGTGGTCACACTCATCATTGCCCTGTGTGTACCTGACATCAGTGAGGTGGTCAGCGTCATTGGGGGCATTGGGGCTTTCTTCATCTTCATTTTTCCAGGTAGGCAAATGTGGCTTTTCTCTCCTAGGAATCAGGGATGGGCTTGCGGGCCAAGGGTGGTGCCAAGGACAGCTCGTCATGAGAAAACTTGCCTCCTTGTTCCTGTGGCAATCTGGTCCTCTTTAGACGCATTTGGACTTCAGTTTCTATAATCGCCAGGCTAGAGATTAATAAGCATGGCTGAACCTTAGGTGTCGCTGCGTATTAGGCGAATATGTACTTCTGGTAATTAAATCTGTAGAAATTCAGAATGGTAGACCTGGGTGGTGAACAGGTGTTATAAACTTTACTAGAGGGTGAAATGATTTATCATCTACCTATCTATTCTATCATCTCTTTCTCTCTCCATCCCTATCAATCCTGTCCGTCTAATCTATCATCATATCATATCATATCATATCATATCATATCATATCATATCATATCTAATATCTATCTGTATCATCTCTATCTATCTATCTATCTATCTATCTATCTATCTATCTATCCTATGATAGATCTCTATTTTTGTTTTGTTTTTTACATTTGAAAATCCTGTTCTTTGAACAGTAGAGGTTTCTTTTGTGGGCTTTCCTGGAACGCAGCCAGCAAAACAAGAAGTACTACAGTAGTAAAGATCATCCCATCTGGGATCTACTGTCAGCTAATTAGCAAATGAACTTCCACCAGGATTCCAGGCATTTTTTTCATCTCTGCCTTTCAGAACAGGAAGTGTGGGAATGGTACTCAAAAGCACCCGAGGAGCATCGGGCTTTGGGAAGGCTGTCTTCAAAGATGTGATGACCTGGTCTCAGCATGCTTTTTGATCACTGCTTATTTTGTAAAATTTAATCTGTTGCTTTTCCTCCTAACCACATTCAGGACAATATTTTGAAGCTAAATATGATTTGGTTAAAACCATGCATATTTAATTTATCCCTTTTCTGTAAAAGAAAAAAAGAGGGGGGAGGAGGACTAGTTTACAGGAAGAAATATGTTGAATGCTTTCTATTTTATTTCAGGGCTATGTTTGGTGTTTGCAATGGAGACTGAAGACTTCAAACCAAGAACCAAGTATGTTTATCACCCCCCAACCCCCCAACCACCTTTGCTGGCTATAGGAACAGTCAGTTGAGCGGTATAAGTTGCTCTGAATTCTCACTCCTGATGCTATCCATCAGTCAACTAATTTAGACATCAAATATGCCGAACTCTTCCTGAATTACTGCAAAGCAGCTATCTTAATGTGACCACATGCAAAATGGCATCATGATTCTTCCTGCTGCATTTTATCGATGCAAAGGCGCAGTGGCTGTGGGCCTTTGCAAGTGTCAGGTGAAAAGAATCTTGATGCTGAGAAAGACGTGATCACAGCAGCTGGCGACATTTTGCAAAGAAATAAGAGATGCGCGGCTCCGTTTTGTCAAAGGGACTCGGGCAAGTAGCAACCTATTTGCAACAGGGGAAAAGCAATTTTTATTTTTAAATGAAGATCCAGGTATTTCCATAAAACCAACAGAATGGCTTTTTTGCCCGCTTACTTGCAGGTCCGGTTTAATTACCTGGGGAATCATCACGGTCCTCTGTGGAGCTTTCATCTTTGGGCAAAGCACAGCATCTGCCATCATGGCACTGTTACACCAGCTGTAGCCAAAGTCATCAGCAAAGATGATGTTGCGCCCAAGAGACACTCTTCTTCACAGCTGGACTATTGCGATGTGATGCTGAGGGTCACTGACAGATGCAGTAAAATCTCAGTTTACCAGACTTGGTTTTAGCAGATTTTGGAAGCAAGGAATGAAATTTCAGCACCGGATTTAACAAATAAAGTCCACTGCATTGGAAATAATCCAGACAATTTATGCTATTTCCTTTGCCCCATGATGCAATGATTCACACTGTGAAATTCACATCATGTGCATACAATGATGCCAGTTATATCATTTGTCTCATAATGAAAATGACATAATAGAAAAGACTTATTTAGCAGTAATGTTCAAGGATAACAGACACCCCCTTCCCTAAATGGCCCATTAAACTGAGATTTTATTGTACTGAACAGCTGGGTATCATTTAACTCATACCCACATTTTATCTATCTAGTCTCGTTAATAAAAGTGACATGTTAGTCATACCTCTTGTGGGATGGAGCTCTTTTTAAATATTCTTGTGGATAGTTAACAGGGGTCCTGGGCAGGTTTTATATCACATTGTCAGAGATTTCAGGCAAGCATCACTTTGAAGTGGCTGCACTGCAGCTCTTCCTTCCAACTGGTGAATCATGGACAACCCCCAGGCAACCAGAATGCAACAAATTGGGTTCACCGCTACTACCACCCCCTTCTTTCATGCTTCAAAGTCTGATTGAGCAGAAATAATATTTGGGGGAGATGTTACCAGCTTTAGGAGTGGCAAGACAGTCCACCTACCTGACACCAACATGCCCTTTGTATAAACTCATTGGAGAGGATGGTTGGGCACGCACAGGTGCTATCAGGATGGCCTTATGTTTGGCATGAACTGTGCCCCGTGAACCAGACTGGTAAAATCTGTAGCACAACCCAGGATAGACTTGATAGTCTAAGTGGGATGGAGAGGAAATGAAAACAAAGCCATTAACCAAAGGTCTCTTTTAATCTCTCTTAATTTTTATTTGGTTATCCGTACTGAGTCATAAATTGTGTACAATGGCACATATTGATATCTTAAAATTACCTATATGTTTGCTAACACTGACATTGTGCCGTCCGTGCTAAGCTTGAGAGCTACATCGTTTTATTTCTAAAACCGTACACATCAGCTATCAAAGGTTACAGTCAAAATGAAGATACGTGAGCCACACTTCCCAGAGAAAGAGGTGAAGGGGGCTCCCTTGTTCTGTGAAATCTTGCCTGCTTCAGTCTTGTTAGAAACAACAGTTTTCTGTTTAGAAAATACGCATAACTTGGTAAAGTAACATAGTGCTACTTTTCTACAGCACGGGGGGAAAGGTAAGTCTAAATACATCAAGGCTTATTTTGATTTATTCATGCAAAGGTGTTAAAGTGGGAGAACTCAATGCTCAGGTACGAATAAGGCAAGATGGGTGCTATGGGCTCCAAGGGTTTCATGCAGCTCTTATACTAATTTAAAAGAACTTGGAAACAATCCATTCAGATTCTGCAGGAATGCCAACCTGTTGAAGTAGGTGGGTGGGTAGACAAGGAGAAGAGGATCTTAGAAACAGAAAAGGAAAAAAAGGATGTGTGCAGTGGTATGCTGGAGCTGGCTCATATCAGCTTGCGAAAGCCAGTTAAATTTTCTGGCCAAGTATGTGGCCTACCATAAATTACTCTTAAGGAAAGCTATACCTCATAGGGGGAAAAATAGTTGCCCACCCCTTTATGCAAGGAAATAATTTGAAATGTATGCTATGAGTGTTTTGATGCTAACACCCTAAAAAATTGTAAGAACTGTTTCTTATAAGAGACTGGAAGTTTGCTAGAAGTAGAAGGTTGAACTGAGGACCTCTGGTAGAGGTTCACCCATGATCATTCCTAAGTCATAGAGGTTGAGGGATAGCATGAAATCTATCTCTGTCTAGACCAAATCTGCATGGCCAAGCACCCAAGTTGGCTTGCTTTCAAGGAAGAAGCCATCTATTGTGGTCTTCCAGGTTCTTACCTCTGCTTTTGCAGGTTAAGCTGAGCAGAAAAAAATAGGTAGACTTGCTCAGTTTTTGGCCACTGTGTTTGATCTCCTGAGCCAATGTTGAGAGAGATTCACCATAGACAAGATGCTTAGAGTGAAGGAATGGAATACCTTTGGTACCTAGGTCTGAGCCTGGTTTAGATCCTTTTGCTAATCTATTCTAGAACTCTCACTTTATCAGCTGCATTTGAGCAAGTAGCTTACAAGGTCTGTGCAAAGAATCCATTCAGAAATGCAGTGCAATTGAATTTTTCAGTCTGGGCTTCTGCGTTTGTTGATTTGGATAATGCTGATTGTCTCTAAATCAGCCAGACAATTGGATACTATTGACATATGTGAAGAACGGCCATTTTTTTTCAAACCAAATCAAGTTTTTTTTTAAAATTGTATCTACTTGATTTGACCATCCAGTCCAGAAATCTGAATGGATTCAGAGTTCCAAGCAGAAATGACAATTCAGACTTGACCACTTTTGATAATTTGAATTGAATCAATGCTTCAGATTAGATCTGAACCAATCTACAGATACATTTAACTCACAGAGGGTATTGGAGATGCAGTGGTTTCTAGGAAACTGTCACTGTGCAATGGAGGGATTCAAATAACACTGTTTCTAATCAGGCCAAGAAATAGTTGGATGCCTTTGTTTTATAGAATACTATTTAATACATTTATAAATGGAATAATATAATCAAGCCATCAAGAGCTACCAAGCTCCAAGGAGTTTGCAGTAGGCCTATGCACTGCTTTGGATTTAAAGCCAGATTGAGCTCCTGGTCATGTGAATATCGGGGTCCCAAGGGAAATTATAATTTCTCTTAATATTCCTAGAGTTCTTCAATCAATTAAATCCAGAAGGAAGAATTAAGCTGTAGCTAATCTTCCCCAACCCTCTCCAGCCACATGAGAAAACAACATAGGACTGTTGCACCACTGTTTCGGGGGGTTCTCCATGTTCTTGTGACCATAGTGGCAGTGAAACAGGAGCAGGAAAGAGGTCCACATGGGGCATTGAAAATATTTAACTTTTATTCCCTAAAACAACAACAGGAAGAGACAACCTTCCACCCACAGCAGATCACTGGGTATGTTACTTTATCGTGGTTTGGACCAGACCAAGTCAGTCAAGGTGGGCCATCACAACCCATCTACTCAGGAAAAAAAATCCATCCTTGGTGGAAATCTGAATGCCTTTTGGGGAACACACACTAAATTAATCAAGAAATTCTCAGCAGTGCTATGTTAAAGCTTGCAATCCCTTGCTCAGGATCAAACCCACATCTCTGGTGGATACCAGACCAAAACTTGTTATAGGCTTGGGCTGCAGCTCAGGAGAGGAGAAATCATTTGCTGGCCAAAGGCTAGTAGGAAGATAGATTGACTTCTTGTTGTTGTTCCTTCACTTCAAAGAGCAAGCAAATATCATTTCTAGATAGAAATGCATTGGACGGAAGGGAGAAGAGACAACACTTGTAACAAAGTTATTAGAAAAGACAAGAGTCTGCTTCTCCGCCAAAGAGAGGAAAGAATATTGGCACAGGCCAGGCTAGGAGAAGGAATCCAAAACTTCCCTTCAGGGCGTTGTCCTCTCCAGGTCAGTCTCGGTTAAGGGTGCACCAAGCAGCTGCAATGAGAAGAGAGGCTTTTAGAAAAAGGATTAGGGGGTCAGAGATTTATTTATTTGTTTGTTTGTTGCCTCCCAGTTTTTGATGCCATTCTTCTTGATGGATTTCCCTTTTCTCCATCTCTATGGCTTAGATTCACCACCACCAGGTATATACAAAGCCATAAAAAAAAAAAGGTAGAAAACAGAAAGAACCTTACACCAGGTGTTTGGAGAAAGAGATATGACCCACCAAAGCCTGTAATAAAGTGGTGTCACTCAACTCTTTGGCTCTGTTCACCCAAGATGCTTAACTCACACCACAGAGAGACAGCATGATACAGTAGTCAAGACACTGGACTGTCCCCGGGGAAATCCAGGTCTAGGTCCCTGCTCAACCACTGAAGCTCCCTGGGTGACACTGGGCCAGTCATTCTCTCTCAGCCCAACCTTCCTCAAAGAATTGTTGTTGAGAAAAATAGGAGGAAATGCTCTCTATGCCGTTTTGTGCTCTTAACAAAAAGGTGTGATATAAATCAAATCTCAAATAATTTTGGAACCAGTGGCGGCATGGGCACAGCATACTAAGACGGTTTAATCTGAACCTTGGTTAGTTTTTTGTGGCTTAATGTGCTGCATAAACCCAGGCTGTGTGGTTAGTTTGTGTCAGTGTGTTGTACAAACCCAGAAAATGGGTGAATCCAGTAGCCAGGAGATGCCTATTTTCTGTGGGGATCAGAGTCTTTAGGATCTTAACAAGAGCCCTGCTGCCCAGCTGTTCAGCTAGAAGGAGAGCCACTTTTATTTCAATTAAATATATTTCTTGTCTTGGCCCTTCCATCCATGGCCCATAAAGATTTGCATGCAATGGCTGGGTTCACACAACATCTAAACCCAGGTTAACAAAACACCATACCCATGGTTACGTTACTGGTGATGTCCATTCAAGGCACTCATGTCTTTCTGTGAGGATCTTGTTCACACAACTTGCTAAGGTAGTGACTGGGCTCCTACAACATACTGAGCCATGAACTATCTGACTCTATTTTAGCCTAGTTGAGCGTGTTGTGTGAACTTAGCTAGAGAGTCTGACTCAGTCCATTTGTCCCTGAAAAAGCTGCAATCTTGTGCAATGAACAAATCACATCCACTTTGAGTTGGCATTATATGCTGTGGCTTTAGCAAAACCAGGCTGACTTTCTTGATATTTAGAAGCTAAGCACAGTCAGCCATGGTCAGTCATGGGAGGGAGACTACCAGGGAAAACCAGTGTAGTAGCTATAATGTGAAGTTGAATAGACAACCTGGAAGGAGACAATGGCAGATCACTTCTATACTGTTGCCAAGAACTTTATGTATGTGTCAGGACTCAAGCTTGTTTCCAAGGACACATTTATTTTTCAAAACATTTAAGTGTGCAAGCACTATCCCCACATTCAAGACCTCTCTAGTTCTTATTGTTGTCGCAATCTTAGGATTCAGACCTGGGACCGACACGCTGGAAACTCCTTCAGGCTGATTCAGCATATCCACTTTTACATGCTGGAAACTTTTACAGACAGGACTCTGGAGATGTCTGTGGAGGTAAGGAGAACAATGGAGAAGAACTTAGGCTGGTTTTTTAACCTAGAATATTTGTGGTTTTCGCAGAGGCCAGCAAATGCTGAGATTTGAAAAAAACAAGCTGAAAGCACCAAGCCTTGGTTGGCTGAGAATATAGTTATAAACTGCTCTTCAATTTCCCAGGATGGTTTGAACAGTAGTAGTGGTTCCTCTTGCTGAAATAATTAAAAAAAAAAAAAAGTCAATGGGTTTTATGTGCACATCACTTTATTGAGCTTTTTTTTTTAAAAAAAAAAAATGGCCTCAATGGTTGGATAAGCCCAAACGTGCATGTTTGTCTACCTAGGCCCTATTGATTTCTTGCAAGTGTGTGACAAGCGCTTTTGGTAGAGAAAGAATATATCTTCCAAGTGCATTGGGAAATTTCAAAAATTGCTTGGGTTAATAGAACTTATTTTCTCTCTCTTTCTTAACGCTTCTCTCCTTCTACAATTTGGGTCCATGAGAGGCCCCTCCCTCCCTAGCTGGAACTTGCGAAATCAGGATCTTTGCAGTTTAGTTGATTTGTCCCACAACATTCACAATCAGCAGAGATGAAACAAGAGGACCCACAGCCACGTTCCTAGAGCGTAATATAAGCTAGACTTCTTAGCCTTGCACTTCCTCTAGCAAAATTAATACTGGAGAGAGAGAAAGCTGCAGGTTCCCAGCTCTTCCAGAGCGAGGGGGCTACTTCTGAGAATGTCGTTTGCTAGACTCCAATGCTCCTGATCTCTTTCAGGGTGGATCCCTAGGACATCTTCTCCCTACTAGATTGCGTAAGTTAAATTTTACCTGAAAAAGATGGTCCTGAAGATTACCAGGGCCCAAGCAGTAAAGGGTTTATGGAGATCACCAGCACCTTGAAACAGACCCAGAAGTCTACAGGGAACCCGGGTTGCTCCTCAGAACACGTATAATTCTGCTCAACCGGCTGTAATATCTTTTGTTTTTTCAAACAACCAAGTGCAAACAGATGACTGCTCTGCTAAAAAATTTCAGCCATTCTTTCAGGGACAATTGTTTAGGATTGCAGTCTACAAAAAGCTGACAAAATGTTCTGGGATTTATAGTGAAGGCCATTTCATTCCTACCCAATGACATCCCACTCACTGCAACTCACCAGCAGAATAGTGAAGTGACATTAGGGCAGTGTTGTCCAAACTTGGCCACTTTAAGATGAGTGGACTTCAACTCCCAGA